GGGGGAAAAGAGAGGAGGAAGGGGGGAAAATGAGAGGGAGAGATGGGGAAATGAGGAGGAAGTGGGGGAATTGTGAGTGGGGGAAATGAGGGAAGAGGGAGGGGAGATGATGGGAACGGGGATGGAGGTTGGACGACGGGCTACTTGCAAACATGGCGGCGCGCCCATTCAACGGTGGCGATTTACCCTGCTCCACGAATGGCTGAGCGCGTTGGCGGCAAAGGTGAGACGAAAGGGCGGCGAGTTGCGCGTGACGTAGTTTGTTTTGCGGGGCGCAGCATATGAGGTGCATTCGAAATTCGCACTGGGATGCGAGCAGCATGTGAGGCGCGCAGAGGGTGAGCGTGAAGCCGGTGACGTGCTAAGCGGCGAGGCGAGCTGTGGGTTACACGGGAAGCAATCGCTGCCGACCTAGCTTGAGAGGAATCGCAGTGGGTGAGGCGCTACGCAGAGAGGCGCTAAGCGGTGCGGCGCTAAGAGGTGCGGCGCTAAGAGGTGCGGCGCTAAGAGGTGCGGCGCAATGCGATGAGGGGCGCAGCGAGGTATTTGGCGCGATGCGGTTGCACGGCGCGCGGTGTCGCGCTAAGAGATGAGGGCCGCAACGGGGTATTTGGCGCGATGCGGGTGACGCGCTGAGAGGGTGTCGAGCGCCGCGGATACGGCTAGAATGCTCCCGGCGGGCACCGGATGGGATGCGCTGGCGGTTGAGACTTCGCTTACGAAGACTGTAAAGTAGTCTATCCTCGAAGATGTATTGTGTTTGCTGAATCCTCGTCTCTAAAAATAGGGACGTTAGTGTCTATGGTAGGAATTAGTCGCTTATACTTGGTCTTCGTGAGGAACTTCTGGAGTTGGGTGACGGGAGGGGTTCTCGTGGTCGCATCTCCCTTCCAAATTTTCGCCCAGTCTGTTCGCGAACCCCACATCGTTTTCGTTGGGGTTGTCTCTGAGGGAGGGTACTGTTCCAAAGCAACAGTACTTTCAAATGTATACTCTTGCTTTAAGGCAGGCAATCAGGGAATGAAGAAGGGTGCGAATTATCTGTTCATTCGAGATTCCGTGTGAACGAAATCAATCGATGCACTACGGTCTAAAGCGGTGAATAGCTATTTACCGTACTCAACCGTCTGTCATTGCATTGAAACTCGCTGCACCAACCTTGAGTTCCTTCACCCCTCCCCTTTCCCCAGTTCGACGCACCGATGGGAGAAGGCGGCAGGTGCGGATCCACCCCAAACAGCTCTTGATTCTGGTTTGGTTTGGTCTAGTTTGGTTCGGCTGTCAAACCTCGCGCCAAGCAGCTTGTGGCCAATACGTAACCCCCAACCCCCCAATCACAGGCTTTCGCAAACAAATGGATAAAGCCTACTTGGTCTGGGGGACCCGTAGCCAAAGCTGGTTTCCCCCGAAAGTTCATTTTCAGTTCAATATAAACGGTTGAGTACGATAACGCGCAACCAGGACGGTGTTGCTTCATCGATTTGAATTGAACTCCCAAACAGCCCGAAGATTCATGCATGAACTTTCAGGAATCCACCACCACACGCCATATCCTCTAGAAGGATATCTGTTCACTGTAACGTGCAGCACCCTGCACACCAAACAGTAAGACACATTCCTTCCATTCTCAGATAAACCGGGTGGGTATATTGTGATACTGGCATTGGCTTCGCATTGGAAAGAAAGGGTGCATACAATCTCCTCAACTATAAACTTCTAGGAACGTCTGATCAAAAAGAATTGCTACCAGCTGAGTATACAACCACCCAGCGAGCCTATGTACTGGAAAGAAATAAGAAGCCACGGAAGGGCAGCCCTGCACATCCTCGTTGCACTGCATTCCCACTGGTCAACTTGCGTTGGACCGCATCAAAACGCTCTTTACCCTCCCACAGCCACCTCAAAGCCGGTTCAGCAGGCAACACAACCCCTCTCCCCCTGACGAGCAACCACAGCAGCAAGCCACCCCACCATGCTCAGCGACCTGCACTGCACACGGACTTGCAACAAACAACTCCCGCTGCCTGCTCGTCACAAATCAGCATTGGTGGCATCAGCCATAACTACACGCACCAGCGGCTCATGCACGGCCAGCACCACGACACCCATCTCCACCACCACCTTGGTCACCCTCCCCCTGCCTGCTTGCCACTGTCCACAGTTAAGCACTCGTACGATCAATCAATCACTGAGTGGCATCAGCCATGGCCACACGCACGAGCGGCTCATGCACTGCCAGCACCACATCAGCCATCTCCTCCACCAGCCTCACCACCTTGGTCACTCCCACGCCCTCTCCTCCCTCACCCCTCCCCTCCCCCACCTCCTCACTCCCACTCAGCAGGTCCCCAGCGGCAGCCTTCCTGAGAGCAGCCTGGGCGGCCAGCAGCGCCTGTGATTGGCTCACGGGGCGCAGCAGCAGCAGGGCGCGCAGGGCAGCAGCGACAGAGGCGCGCACGCGGAGGAAGATGGCATCGGTGGGGGCGAGCGCACGCAGCAGCAGGCTTGACGCCAGTGCCTCAATGCCTGCCCTGTCAGGGGCAGCAGAGGCAGCATCAGCAGGTGCTCCTGCTGCTGCAGGGGCTGTCTTGGTGTTGGCTGCAGAGATGACTGCGTCGGCGAGGGCCGAGGCAAGGGCAGCACGGGAGGCGTCGGGGGAGGAGACGAGGCGGGCGAGGGTGGTGCGCGTGGCGGCTACTACAGCCTCCACTGCTGGCGATGGCAGGATGGCTCGTGCTGCCAGGAGCTGGCGCAGGAGTAGGAGACTGCAGGGAAGGGCCAGATGGAGAGGGGGAGGGGGGAAGACCAAGTAAGAGGTTATGAGTTTTCAGAAAGAGTGGTGCACGTGGCGGCCACCACGGTCTCCACTGCTGGCGATGGCAGGATGGCCCGTGCTGCCAGCAGCTGGCGCAAGAGTAGGAGACTGCAGGGAGAGGGCAGGGCCAGCGGTTAAGACAAAGGGGAGTTGAGTGACAAGGGAGACAATAAGAAGGGACACACAAATGCACACGTGTATAGGACTCACACAATAGTCACACGACGATTATTATCCTCGCCCTCGCCACTCACCCGATGGCCACCACAACGACACACTGGAACTCGTTCTGCGCGTGCCTCAGCTTGCCCACGTCCAGCCACAGCACCTCCGCCACCGTGCCGCCCTCCGCGCCCTCCGCTGACGTCACCACCTCCACCAGCCCCACGCGCACCACACACGCCGCTGCCGCCCAGTCAATAGACCCGTTCCCGCTGCTGCTTGTGCCTGCCCCAGAAGAAGACAAAGTTCGCTGGCCGGTGCGGAGGGCGGATGCAGATGGGAGGGTGGCAGCTGCTGATGATGCTGCTGAGGTGGAGGCAGATGCTGATGTGGCGAGGTACGGTTGGAGCTCGGCTCGTGCAGAGGGGATGGATTGGCTGAGAGAACTCGCAACCCAGGAGAAAGTGCGTGGAAGTTTCTCCTTGATGGTTGAGAGGGAGAGAGAGGGAGAGGACGAGGAGGCAGTGAGGGCAGCAGGGGTGGGGTAGGCGGGCAGGTCGAAGCGCTTGGCGAGGGCAGCTTGGAGGGTGGCGGCGGTGGTGGCGAGGGGCGTGAGGCGCGCTCGTGCTGCTGCTATGTCCGCCTTGAGCTCCTGATGGCGCATGCATGGCAGGGGAGGAGGGAAGGGAGTGCACAGGGAGCGGAGAATGGTAGGGTCAACAAGTTGATCAGAGGGCGTGTATGAGCTCGTGCTGCTGCTATGTCCGCCTTGAGCTCCTGATGTAGGAGGAAAAGGAGAACAAGAAATTAGACAGCCTGTATGGTGGGGAATGGAGAGCAGGAAGTGCATATGCTATTGCTTGACAGCAAACTTAAGCCTGAAAGAGCAACCGAATGCCCTTCCAACATTCTCCTCAGCCTCACAGCCTCACCTCCAGCCGCTCAAATGCAAACTTGAGCCCTTTCACCACAGCTTCCGCCAATGAGCGCGCGCCACCTGTCGCCACTAGCGCACCCAGCTCCTGGTTGAGCCGTGCCAGGGCCGCACGTGTGGCGTCGTCTCGGAAGGGCGCGCCGAGGCGCAGAGTGAGGTCCGTGGCATAGGCGAGCAGGGCTTGCAGACTGTGGAAGGAGTCTGGCGTTCCTTGTGTGAGCATCTGTGAGGGAGGGGGGATGGGAGAGGGGGTAGAGGGGTGTTGGGTGCACCGAGTCAGAGTGAGATCCGTGGCATAGGCAAGCAGTGATTGCAGTCTGTGAAAGGAGTCTGGCGTTCCCTGTGTGAGCATCTGCAGGGGAGAGAAAGGAAGGGTGGAAGATTAGAATAGGGAGCAGTGAGTTGAGGCGCAGAGTGAGGTCCGTGGCATAGGAGAGCAGTGATTGCCAGACGCACCTCACTACACCGTACTGCACCACACATTATCGCTTACCTTCTCAAGGTCCGCCTCATCCAGAGCAAGGTTGGCTGTGACCTCGTAGTGCCAGGCGCGCGGGGCAACGCGCAGCAGCTCCCCCCGCAGTTCGTCCACCAGGCGCGCCGCTGCTGCCGTGTCGGGCGGTAAGGCGAGCAGCGAGGCGAGGGTGGCGTCCCAGAAGGCCCGGTGCATGGCCGCCTGGTTGGTAGGGGGAAAGTGGGAAGAAAGGGAGTGTGGGCGGGGAGGAAGGGTGGGAGGGGAAGGGGAGGTGAGGCGAGCAGCGAGGCTAGAGTGGCGTCCCAGAAGGCCCGGTGCATGGCCGCCTGGTGGGGAGAGGAGGGGAGGCGAGGGTGGGGGAGGGGGACGGGAAGGAAGAGGGGGAAAGGGGTGCACAGGTGAGGGGAGAGAGGGCACCAAGAGACAAGGCGAATCAGAGATGGTGTTCTCGTCGACTCAAAACATCTCGCGGTGCTCAAAAACAGCATCCACGGCGCTGCAATGGCTTTCCTTTCACAACATGACATTCACATGTGAGGTGTGAAGTGAATGGTACAAGTGCCCGGCACACAAGGCACCAGGTACAGCTCACTGCTCAGTCCCTCACCTTCATCCTCGCCTCCAGGTCCCCGCCTCCCTGTGCTGCTCCTCCAGCAGTAGCAGTAGAGGCAGCAGCGGAAGCAGCAAGGGTGGAGCTTCGGTAGAGGCTGAGGTGCAGCTGCAGCAGCTCGGGAGGGGGAGGAGGGGGGCCCACAGGCAGGGCTACCATTGAAGGGCTTGCGCTCCCAGCAGCAGCAGCAGCAGCAGCAGCAGCAGTAGCAGCCACAGGCGGAGAAGTGCGACCGGTAGGGACGGTGGGGTCTGATGATTCAGCATCCAGAGGCACAAAGAATGCCCCTGCTCGCATGGGACTGCCCCCCGGCCCTGCCGCTGCCCCCTGCAGCGCCCCCCGAACCTCCCTCGCAGCCTTGGATGTGTCCTCCGAGCCTGCAGCCGGCGCTGGTTTGGCGGGCGGGAAGGAGAACTGGAAGAGCGAGCGACGGGCCTTGGGGGCTCTGGAGGGAGCAGCAGAGGCGGCAGCAGAAGTGGCAGAGCTGGTGGCTGCTGCTGCGGCAGAGGGTGGAGTAGCAGTAGCAATGGAAGTGGGAGTGGCAGAGGGAGTGGTAGTACCAGAGAGAGGGCTTGGGTTGGTGGGGGAGGAGGAGAGGGAGAAGTGGGTGGGAGACGCGGCACCCGGCGAGGCGCGTGAGAGGGTGAACGGGGAGCAGGCGGGGGAGGAAGTGGCGGAGGCAGCGGGGGAGGGGGAAGGCGAGGGGGAAGGGGAAGGGGAGGGGGAGGGGGAAGGGGAGGCGGAGGGGGATCCAGGGAGGGTGCCGGCGAGGAAGTCGCGGTGGGTGCGGGCGAGAGCCTCGTCCATCCGTGCCACTCCTGCTTCTCCGGCTAGCCCCCTCAGCTTGCTGCGCAGCATGGGAATATCCTTGGCCACCTGTCGCCACGGGATTGGTCGGGAAGGCAGATTCAGGGAGTACTGGAGTGAGTGGGGGAGGAACGAGAGTGCAGCAAGGTGGAGGGCCAGGCAAGCAATGAGCTTTGAGACACGCCAAACTTATGAGGCAGCAGATGTGCGGACCAGACAGAGGAGGTTAGATTCAGAGTTGCACAAATGGAAGCACACAACCTGCACAGGATCTTCTTGCACCCCACGAAACGGCCCCAGGCACGCACCAGTTCATTCCAGTCCACTAAGGCCCCTCACCTGCTCGCGGATGGCTCTGAGGTCCTCGGAGATGCGTTCGTCAGGGAGGTGAGCCGTGCGGCGCAACATGCTGGCGTGCATCTGGCACGCCATGCTCACCATGTCCGCCTCCATTCGTTCTTTGTCACGCGCCTGGTGGGAGGAAGTAAAGGGTGGGGAGCATGGGGAGCATGGGACGCATAGGCAACGAGCATTGAGCAGCATGCTGGTGTGTGAGGAGCATGAGAGGGCAGCATTCACCCGCCTACCTCCCACCCGCCATACCTTCCAGGCAACGAATCTCTCAAGGTAATCCACCCACGCCGCATCAAACTCCGCCAGGTGCTGCGAAAACGGCTTTACTGCTTCCACTGCCTTTCCAGCACCACCACCGGAAGCAGTGCCCGCGGGAGTGGCTGCAGCCGGGGTGGCGGCGAAGGGACTTGCAGCCGGAGCAGCTGGGGAGGACGACGCGGTAGACGCAGCAGCAGAGGTGGTACCAGCAGCAGCAGTGGAAGACGCAGAAGCAGTGGCAGCAGGAGCAGCAGAGGCGGCAGCAATAGCACCAGCAGCAGAAGGGGTGGGTCGTCTCAGCAGGAATCTCACAAGCCCTTCAAACGCGCTCACGAGGGCAGCAGCGGCAACGCGCAGGGCGGCCTCGCGCTCGCCTGTGAGGCACGAGAGCACAGCGTCGGGGTGCAGCACGATCATGTACGCGCACAGGAACACGCGCGGCGGATACCGCCCCTTCCGCGCGCCCTCTCCGCCACTCGCGGCCGTTCCGCCGGTGGTAGATGCAACCGCGCTGCTAGCCCCTGCTGCTGCTGATGATGAGGGCTTGGGTTTGCCCGGGGGAGGCGCGACCTGCGCTAACAGGTGGTCGATATCGCGCACACCCGCTGCGCCCGTGGCGTTGCTGGCCGAGATCGGCTGCTTCTGCGGGGACGCGGCGGGGGAGGACGAGGGGGTGCTGGCGGGGGAGGGGGCGGGGGAAGGGGCGGGGGACGCGGCGGCGGAGGCGGAAGCGACGGCGGAGGACACGAGCAGGCGCGCGTGCAGGCGCTGCAGGAGCGCGTCGGTGGCGGAGAGGGACGCGGGGGACTGGATGCGCGCGGCCACGCGCGGGAAGGGCAGGCGGGAGAGGCGCGCGCGGCTGACTTGGCAGGCGCAGAAGGCGCGCGCGAGCTCGAGCGTGGTCTTGTTGGCCCCCTTGAACTGGCGCCAGCAGCTGTGGTGGGGGAGGGGAGTGTGGGGGAGGGAGTGTGGAGGGGGGAGGGAGTGTGGAGGGGGGAGGGAGTGTGGAGGGGGGAGGGAGTGTGGAGGGGGGAGGGAGTGGAGGGGAGGGAGTGGAGGGGAGGGAGTGGAGGGGAGGGAGTGGGGGAAAGGGAGTGGAGGGGAGGGAGTGGGGGAAAGGGAGTGGAGGGGAGGGAGTGGGGGGGGGGAGTGGGGAAGGGAAGACGCTTTGATCAGAAAGGAAGAACAAGATACCGAAACAAGCCAGTTTGATAAAAAAGGGCGAGAAGCAGGAGCAAGCATTGCACGTGTGGTGTGAGGCGGGTGCGTGGAGCATCTGATGAGTTGAGAGACCAGCACCGAGCCAGGGGAAAACAGCTAGCAGGGAGCAGACAGGGAGCATGCGGGGAGCAAGCAGGGAGGAGGGAGCAAGCAGGGAGGAGGGAGCAAGCAGGGAGCAGACAGGGAGCAGGCAGGGAGCAGGCAGGGAGGGGGGAGAAAGCAGGGAGCAGGGAGCGGGTCTCACCGCAGGAGGCGGCGCGAGAGCAGCTGCCACTGCACGCGGCGGCACAGCGTCTGAGTGTACAGCGCGCTCCTGCGCCCGCCGCCCTTCCGCCGCAGCATCTCCGCGCGCCTTCCGCGCGCCTTCGCCACCTTGCGCTCCAGCCGCTCCCGCCGCTCGCGGTTCTCGCGCTGCCGCTGCTCCACAACGGCCGCCGCCACCTGCCGCGCCTGCTCCCACTGCGCCGCAGCGCGCTGCCGCTCCGCTAGAAGTCGCGCGTCGCGCTTCGACGACGCGGCGGCGATGCGGTCGGAGAGCGCCTGGAGGAGCTGCGCTGCGCGCTCCTGCTCGATTCTGGTGGGGGAAAGGGAAGAGCGGGGAGATGGCGGGAACAGAGAGGCGGAATGCTTTTCAACACAAGACCGAGGCGGCACGAGGGTGAATGGGCGAACACGCACGTGCAAGCCACACTTAATTCCGGAACTGGAGGCGCAATATCGAGTACAATTGGCTGCTTTCTGAGGGTCGAAAGTATGTGTTTTGAGAATTCTAAAAAAGTCTTACTGTGCCTGGCGAGCGCGTTGCGCTGTGCGCGTGGAGACGCGCGCCAAGTGCTGTGCGCGCTTCTGCTGCCCCGCCGTGAGGATGGCCGCGCGGTTGCTCTGCGCCTTCTCCGCGCGCTCCTCGCGCTGCTGCGCAACGCCCGCCACCCAAGCCTCGAGCCGTTGCTGCGCCGCTGCGCGTACCTGTCGGCGCAGCTGCGCGGACTTGACCTGCTGCTCTCTCTTGCTGCCCTCGCGCTCCAAACTGCACGGGACATACGGACGGGTGAGGGCAGGTACGACTCAATTAATATCACTTCATCTTCTCCCCATCTCCATCATCGTGTTGCCGAGGTGATATTACAGAAAATTGGAGCATGTTCGACTGACATTTTATCATGCTTCATACGGTTACTGCGAATGCAATTGGTGATGGAGAGACTGACAAGGTAACAAGGAGCAAGGAAACAAGCTTTCGCAACGGCGACTGATTGGTTCCTCTCGACTGACTGGTTTCTCCCAATGGCAAATAATTCATTCCACTCAATGACGTATCATGGCTATTGGTTCATTTTAACGGATTGCCAAGGGGATTGTTTGATTACTTTCCACAACGTGTCAGGAAAATTATCTGACTGATTACGAAAAAGACGAGCAGCGACTCACCGTTTCTTCTCGGCCGACATGAGCCGCTGCTGCAGACGACGAGCCATCTCCTCCTGCTGCTGCTCCGTCGCCACCACGCCCTCGTCGTCCGTCGTCGCATGGATGTCGCCACTCTCGCCCGCGTCGCCCGCGTCGATCGCCTGAGGGTCGATTTCCGCCTCACCGGTGACTGCAGAAAGGACCGCCGAGCTTCCAGAGCCGCCGCTGCTGGTGCTGGTGGTCATTGTGCTGCTGCGGCTCGTTCGGCTGCTCCTGCTGCTGATACTGCTTGGACTGTCGCTGTAACGACTTTCCTTGCCGGAATTGTCGCTGCCGGGGGTATCGCTGCCCGTGTCGCGCCGGCTCTTGCGATGCTGCGAGGCTCGCGCCTTGCTGGATAGCCATTGGTGGAACTCCTGCAGCCGTGGCGCGTGGGAAGCACATGCTGACGTCAGAACACTTCGTGCCCAACAGGATGTCAGGGAGAATGCTTTCGGAACGAAAGGCTTGAAAGAAAGAAAGTATGCAGGAAAACAAAGTGCAGACTAAGAGCGGGGTGGGTCCGAGAGCACGCGGTACACGGTGGGAAGGCGAGAGAGACCCACCTGGCGGCGCTGGCGAGCTTCCTTGACGCGAAGGTTCGTGGGTAGCCGCGATGGGGAGGCCTCAGCGTCGCTCAGCTCTTCCGCGATTGCATGCGTCGCAGGGAACACCTGATCCGATACGCACGCCATCGCGTACTGTCAACGCTCTACGCTAACTGGATGAAAGGGACGATTAAATTAAGCTGCCTGCTAGGATGATCTACGGTATTGTTTCGCGCTAGGCTATCGTCGAGCATGCGACATACTTGATGGGGACTACTTGAGCAAAAAGGCTTTCATCACCTCCCCTTTGAGCATTGGTACTCAATTTATGTTGAGCATCGAGTACCGCTCGTACAGCAAGTCTGAACTTTGTTCCCGCGCAAGCAGGTATGGTTTGCTTTGGACAAGAAGCTTCGGCGCGGTACTGCTGGAGGTCTTTGGCTAGGATGATTATGTTTGCTGTGGTTGGGCTGGCTTCTCTGGAAAATTTGCAGGTTCGTCGGTTTTGATCAAATTTGACTGGCTGTTGCTGTCAGGTCTGTCGGGGCTGACCGAAGGTATGGTATTGACGGGCTCATCTCTTCCCGTCCCAGGCCGTCAGTGACAGTTGGTTCAGCATCACATCGGCGTCATCTTCTCACGCACCAACATTTCGCCGAGGTTGGTCCGGGGAGCGTGAATTTCGCAAAGGTGCCGAAATTCGCTGAGTTTAGTCAGGGCTCCCTAGGGCTGGAGTCTCCAAGGGCTGGGACCTCGATTGTGTGGTGGACACTGGTTTGTCGCTCAACGGCTAGCTCGTGTCGCACCAGCCATCATAAGAGGTGCCTCTAACGAGTTAGAACCTGGGGAACTCCCTCTGATTCGTTGAAAGCACGGGCCGCCTCAAAGAGCACTTCATTGCGACAACTGCTAACAAGGCAGACACAATCTATTGACTTCTTTATACACCACACTGATTCTTTATACCTGAATTACAAAAGCTGACTAAAGTTCCCCCCAATTGCCTCATTTGTCTTACTCTTGTAATAACTGGAAAAGGTTATATGGCATTCCCAAAGGTATCACCTTGGTGCACTGTCTCATAACGAGACCGCGCCTGTACCACTGCCGCAATAGAGCACGCGAGGATGAGAAAGTCCAACTCCACCAACCATCCTTGACCAGAGGTTGCGAACTGCTTCGCATGTCGTAACTGTCAGAATGAGGAATGGATGATGCATTGATGTTGGTTGGGGTACATATAGCTAACCCTAAGTTTTGTACCCCCTAAGACAAACCTCACTATAGGCTACAACATTTGACACACCCCCATAGCCTAAGTGAGGGGTGTCTAGCAGAACCAAACGAGTACGGTCACAAGACCAGTCCAAGAAACGAAGCTCAGGGTGGATCACAACGTCACCACACAGTCTGAGCACAAACAACAGTGGCCACAAGGCCAGTCCAAGAAGTAACAGAGGTATATAGAAAGCAAAGTAAACAGTACACTCAAGCCTAAGCAACACGAGAACCAGTGTCAACAAGGCCTAACTGCACACAGCACCTCTGGTGGTCACAAGGCGGAAGCGCCTTGGTGAAGATGTCTGCAGTGTTGGCCTCGGACTCCACAAACTCAAAGCGAGCCTGTCCACGCCTCTGCAACTCTCGCAGAAGAAAGTACCTGACGTGAATGTGCTTCACTCTGCTCTCCAGTCGTGGCTCTCGACAAAGGAGAATAGACGCCTTGTTGTCAGTGAACAAGGTCGGTGCAGAGCTCGGCCGCTCACCAAGGTCGGTGAGCAAGAAGGTCAACCAACGCAGCTCCTGTGCCGCCATGGCACCAGCGTAGATCTCAGCCTCAGCTGTAGAGGTCGAGACCGAAGAGGAGCGCGTGGACCGCCAGGAAACAGCTCCAGAACCCAGGCTGAAACAGTACCCCTGAGTAGACCTGTGAGTCTCAGCGTCGTCAGCGTAAGAGGAGTCACAGTGACCAGTAAGTACGACAGACTGCTGCCCTCCAAGAACTAGCCCCACGCCTGACGTCGTCGCTAGGTACTTCGCCACCCTCACAGCTGTTGTCCAGTGAACAGGACGGTGTCTCCCTGGCGCAACAAAGCGCGCAAGAACGCTGAGAGGGAAGGCGAGGTCCGGGCGAGTACAAGTCATCAGGTACATGAGGCAACCCACAAGCTCTGCGTAGGGACCACTAGGCTCGAACGGCTCGTCAGGAAAGGGTCCAGTGAGTCTGTGGTCAACAGCAAGAGGTGTGCGCTGTACTGTGGAGTGCTGAAGCCCGAACCGCTGAAGGACCTGCTGCACCATGTGCGACTGTGAAAGTGTAATGGTGCGAGCAGCTCTGTCCCTGGTGATCTGCAGGCCAAGGTAGTGGCGCAGCTCACCAAGATCAGTGCAGGTGTGTCTCTTCTGTAGTTCGGACTTCACGTGTGCCAAAGCAACCCTGTCAGGGGTGGCGAAAACAAGGTCGTCAACGTAGACCAGAACAAAGAAAGGTGTGGGGCCACGACGAACGAACAGCGACGGGTCAGCAGAAGACGGCTGGAACCCAAGGTCAGACAGGGTAGAACGCAGGGTGTCGTGCCACTCACGAGGAGCCTGACGAAGACCGTAAACCGGTCGCCTCAGCCTCCACTAGGTCCCAGGAGGGAAAGAGCCAGTGAAGGCAGAGGGACGACGCAACCAGACCTCCTCGTGAAGACTGCCCTGAAGGAAAGCAGTAGAGAAGTCAAGAGAGTGTAACTCGTAGTCTCTCTGTGCTGCTACGTGTAGTAACACCCGAAGAGTGGTCATCTTCGGGGTGGGCGCGAAGGTCTGAAAGAAGTCAACTCCCTCGCGCTGACTGAAACCTCTAGCCACGTAGCGTGCCTTGAAGACCGGAGGAGATCCCGGTGGCCGCTTCACCCTGTAGATCCACATGCCGTCGACTACGTTCGCCCCCGGAGGGGGAACCTCATCGACGTAGGTGCCTGTGGATCTGTAGGAGGCCATCTCTGCGTCCATGGCAGCTCTCCACTGAGAGGCCCAAGGCCCTGACACTGCCTCAGCGTAAGTGCGAGGAGTCGGAATGTCAAGGGCGTCGGGGTCACCCTCAGGGGCGAGGAGCATGGCACAGAGATGAGGGGAAGCGGCGGCCAGGAACTCTAGCTCAAACTGCCTGTCCTCTAGGGCGTCACAGCCAAGGGCAGACACACCCCCGACGGCTAGAGGACTGGAAGGAGGAGCAGCCACAAGAGCGGTGGCGAAGTCAAGGCGGCGGGTAGAGGCAAAGTCAGTGACTGCGGCAGTAAGAGCGGACACAGAGGACACAGAGGCACGAGGGTGAGTAACAAGCGAGGCGAGAACACGAGAGAGAAGAGGACGGTACGTGCGGTAGTAGTCTGTGACAGGAGTAGGGAGCGACGCAGTGAGAGCCGACTCAGGAGGAGACGGAAGCACAGACGGAGACGGACGAGGTGGACTAGAACGAAGTAAGGCAGTACGAAGGTCAGTGAAGGGAACAGGAGACGAGGGACGAGCACGAGGGGAGCGACGAGAGGCCCAAGTCTGAGAAGAAGGAGGGGACAACGAAGACTGAGAACGAGGGAAAACAGCGGGAGAGGGGTCAGGAGGAGGAAGCGAAGGACCAGAGACGGGAGGAGAGGGGGAGGAGGAAGGAGAGGGAGAGGGGAGACCAAGGGTCCGAAGACCCGAGACAGGAGGAGGAGACGGCAGCTGCTGCTGCTGCGGCTGCTGCGGCTGCTGCTGCTCCAGCGGCTGCTGCCCCTGCTGCTGTCGCTCCTGCTCCTCGAGCCGCTGCAACTCTCTCTCCTCTCTCTCCAACTCCAGCTGCTCCTCACGAGCACGGCGAACACGAGCCTGGAACCTGGTCGGGTAGGGGTGGGGGGAAGGAGTAGTGTCCGGGGCAGCGGCAGCCCCAGAGTCGACCTCCGAAGCACCAAGCACACCACCCCCAGAGGCAGCACCAACACCAGCTCCAGACCCAGGCTCTCCAGAAACCGAAGGAACACCCTCACCCCCAGACGCAGCACCCCCAGACTCCGCACCAGCACCCCCAGACTCCGCACGACCAGTACCAGCCCCCGGAAGACAAGAGTCCTCTGCAACCCGCGGCTCAGCTCCAACTCCAGCACCCCCAGAACCAGAGACCTGTACAGGGACAGTCGCAGGACCAACCTCCCGAGAGGGAGCACCTGCAGGAGGCGGCGAGGAAGACTGTGGGGAGGGAGGCTGTACAGGGGGGGCTACCGAAGGGGGAGGGCTAGCCTGAGACACACCAGACGGGGCTGGACCAGGGGGGGGAGGCTGTACCGGGGGAGCAGGCGGGGGAGCGGCTGTCAGGAAGAGGGGGGGAGGAGGAACCGGGAGACCTCGACTGGGGTACCTGACGTAGTACGGGGTGGACTCCTCGAAACGGACGTCACGGGAGTCAAAGAACCGGTGAGAGGGAGGGTGGTAAAAGGTGAAGTCAGAGGAGTCCTCAGGGAAACCAAGGAAGACACAAGAAACGGCGCGAGGCGAGAGCTTGTCCGCGGAGGTGTCGCGGACAAGAGCCAAGCACCCCCAGACACGAAACCTCGACGCGACACCAGGGGACCCTGTCCAAAGACTGGTCGGTGAAGCCTCCGGCCGAGAGACGCGTGGCCAGAGGTTCAGCTGGTGCGCGGCGTACCTGACTGCGTATGGCCACAGGAAATGGGGGGCACGGGCGTGAGTCAAGGAGGTGCGGGCAATCTCCATGACCAGGCCTATGCGACGCTCAGCAACCCCATTCTGCTGTGGGGACTCCGGAAGCGTCCAGGACTGACGAATGCCCTGTTCGCGACAGAATCCAGCGAGAATGCCGGAGCGAAACTCGCCCCCGCGGTCGGAGTGGAGACAGCTGACACGACGACCACGAGTGTCCTGGGTGGTAAGCAACCACCTGATCAGCGTAGAAGTCACCTCAGACTTCCTCGCCAGGGGGAACACTGTGGTGTAGCGGGAGTAGTCGTCAACGACCACCAAAAAGAAACGCTCACGCTCAGGGCCAGGGCGAGGAGAGGGGCCCCAGACGTCCAAGTGCAGTGTCTCAAAAGGCTCGGTGGCCGGACGAAGGGAGGAGGAGTGAGGGGTGGCACGCAGCCTACCCTCGACGCAAGGACCGCACGGTG